AGACTGAAATGTCAAAAATGGCTTCTTTCATTTTTCTTTCCTTCATCTATTGAATATTTATGCAATCGACAAGCAATGAGTGTTAATTAAAACTTATTGTGAAGACAAAGGTTAATAAAATAATATATGCAAAATAGAGATGTCCACATGGTATTATTTTATGTCTTATACTGCATATCACTTGCATTTTTTCACATGCTATTAATACATAACATGTATTATGCTAGAGGAAGAATATGATAGTATTTGAGGTGAGGAATTCAGGAAAGAATAACCTGTATATCGAGTCATATGTGAAGTAGAAACTGGCTATGAGAATGGGAGCAGGAAAGAGATGAGGTAGAGATCAGGGAGAAGACATTCTTGGTCATTAGTACATTACAAGAAAAATCTTTGAAAAGCAAAACTACACAGTGCATAAAGGAAACAATTGAGATAGGAATGATCAGTGATAGATAATAGGGACAAGCCCTAGAGAACCTTGTAGAAGTCTCTTTGAAATTTGGGAGTCTACTCTATAAGTAGGGCCCTTGGTCATATTTTAAGCAGCCAAATTATGTTAAATGTTGCTTTTTAAATAGAAAACGTTAGTGACTGTTTGTAGGCAAGAATTACACAGTTAGAGTGGGGGCCATTGATTACTGATTCCTCACTCAACAAGCATACATAGCAAGCTGTTGTAATACTAAGTTGCTATAACATAAGTAATACCTGATCCTATGAAAAATACAGTGGTTACCAGAGTGGAAGGGGAAGCGGGGATGGAGGAAAGGTAAAGGTAGTCAGTGTGATAGTGTGCTGGCACTAGAACTTTCGTGACAGGTGAATGAAGCATCTATACATATCAGGGTGTGAAACTGTACCCTCCAAATTATATAGCTTTATAAATAATGGTAAATCAATAAAATTTAATTTAAAAATAATGAGACATTAGATTAAAACTTGAAAGGAAGTTGTTATGAGAATGAATAGAAGGGGCTTTTTAAAAATATTTAGAGGGTAAAGCTGACAGACTATTACACAAATTTGATATCAAGATTAAAAGAAAAACTATTTAAAGATGAATCTGAGGTATCTGGAATGATTCTGCATACTATTAACTAAATAGTATAAAAATAATCTGGAAACAATATTTTGGTTGGGGAGAGAACAATGTAGTGTTCCTATAGACTAGGTTTAGGCAGCTCCAGGAGAGAGCTGGACAGCATAATGGTAAGGATGAAACAATGACAGTGAATGGGATCGCACACGTGGACAGCAGTGAGTGACAGTAGACCATTCAAATTTTCAGTCTTTTTTGTTTTTTAAAGATTTATTTATTTATTTATTTGTTTGTTTGTTTGTTTATTTATTTATACAAGCACTGGGTACAGTCAGAAGCACGGGAGGGTGAAAGAATTCACCAGAGCCAGAGTGGGGAACAGAACAGGCAGACTGACGAAATACACTGCTGAGGGGAGCAGCGGGCGGCAGGAGAGGTCTGTCGCGCCATGTGGGACCCTCGCCCAGCGGCCGGGGATTGAACCAGCACTACAGAGGCTGCGGGCAGCTTAGCAACCCAGCGCTCAACCACTGTGCCACCGAGGAGGCCCCAAATTTTCAGTCTTTAACAAATATATCCAGAATTGGAAAAGCAATGGGTGTAGAATGGGAACCAATACTAGAGACACAGGTCCAAGGAAGTAGATCATTGAAATGAGGAGGCAAAACATTTACAGTAATGTGTAAATCTCTCTAGGTTGGCTTCCCCCATGTCATGCTCTGATTGGTCTTAAACCAAAACTTGGTCAACTAGGAAGAAAGGTCTACTTTACATTTCCTTTCTCTCTACTTTTTTATTGCCATCTTGAATTTAAATTTTTACAATTTATGTATGTATATAATTTTATCTTTATTCCAGAAAATTACTCTTTGGTTTGTTGAAAGTTTTTGATAATTATATGCTGAAAGTCTCATTATGAAGTAATATTGTTGCTTCCTTTGTTGCTGTTTACTTGCCTTTATCAAGTTTTTTTAGAAACAGTGATAAGCAAAAATAAGAGAATGTTAATCCCAGGGTTTTTTTTGTTGGCAGGGGGGTTATAATTTAGATAATAAGATACACTTAAAAATCACTATTATTTGTTGGAGGAATTACAGTGAGATAAGTGAAAAATGTAATATATAGCATCTCAGTGTTTCTAGTTTTCTTCTTTTTCCCCATTTTGAAAGTGATCATACTAAATCTCAGAAAGTTGATCTTGACTTTTCCAAGAACATGGAACAGAATAGTGTTTAAAAATACAATTCTTTGGTTAAAAAAAAAAAAGTAGATGCTTGGGAGGGGGCTAAACTTTCAAGTTTGGGAAATGAACTAAGGATTAACAAACTGTACCCCATAAAAGTATACATTTTCACAGAGAGATAACTGTTGTTTCTGAGAAAAGCATATTATTGAACGGAAGATTCAAAATACATGACACATTTATTTCCTTTCAATATCTCCTCCTACAACAATTCCACACACTCAGTACAAGGAAATCACACTATTCAAAAAAAGCAGGCCACAGTCCTCCCTTGTCAAAGTCCCTCACTCTTCATTGATGCAGCCAATGTTGAGCTGCACACAAAGAAACAGGTTGTTCCTGCTGGGCTTCCCAAGAGTAGGAGAGAGCAGCCCAGGCAGGAACACATGGTCATGGTCTCTGACATTGTAGGATACAACAGTCCCTCCATTCTGCACAGAGCTGCATGTTTACTGTGTATATATGTTGAAAAGTTGTTCTACTTCCAGTCATTATCTACAGAACACTGTGAGTACAGCTCTGAAGTAGCCCAGTTCCAGAATCAAAGACTTTTTCATGGCAGTGATGTATAAGAAATGAAAAAATGTTATCCACAGAATCCATTGAGTTGGCTACAGTGACCAAGCCAAGGGACTCAGGCTTCCAGTGGTAGAACTCATTAATCTTTGTGGTTTGCCTATAAATGTCAGGGTAGCCATTGTGGATTTCCAGAGAAAACTACTACCTTCCTGGCTACCAAGCAGATGGCATCATCCTCAAAGGATTTTAAATATTTGTGTCAGGACACTAAAGTATGCTTCAGTTAGCTACTTAATATTGAGCAGAAGGATATCTTTGGAGGACCCAGTTGAGTATATATCAATTTATAATGATTTATTCGGGCAGATTCACTGGTTAGCAATGGTCAGGATCTCAAACCAGGCATTCTCATCATTGAGCCAGTCAAAGAAGTTGTATATTATGTATTATTTTGAGTCTACAGGTTGAACTCATCCACAAGCAGAGATGGTGCCCAAGCTGTTAATGTAGCTCTGTTGTGAACCACATATATTGTCCTTTACACATAGTAATGGGAAGCTCTTCTGGAACAAGTTTTCTGAACCTTGGAAATGTTAACATGTTGTTGAGAGACTGTCCTGCGCACTGTATGATATTTAGTAATGTCCTGGTCTCTGCCTATTATGTGCCAGTTAAACCCCTATTATATGCCGCTAACACCTCTTTGAGACCCTCTTCCCAACTATTTTGGGTATAGGCCTAGAAGTGGGACTGCTGGACCACATAGTAATTCAATTTTTAACTTTTTGATAAAATGCTATACTGTTTTTCACAGCAGATACACAATTGTAAATTTCCACTAACAGTGGAAAAGGATTCTAATTTCTCCACATCCTTGACAATTATTTTTTAACTTAATTTAATTTTATGACAGTCATGCTAATGAGTATAAAGTGATATCTCATTGTGGGTTTGATTTGCATTTTCTTAATTATCAGTGCTTTGAGCATTCTTTCCTGTGCCTGTTGCCTATTTGTATACCTTCTTTGAAGAAATGTCTATTTAACTCCTTTGCTAATTTTTTAATTTTGCTTGTTTAACAATTCAAGTTTAACTTTTTAATATGCTATTTAGTTGCAGGCTTTTATGTATTCTAGATATTACTCTTTATCAGATATATGGTTTGCAAATATTTTCTCTTCTTCTGTAGGCTGCCTTTCACTCTGTTGATTATGTCTTTTGATACACAGAAGTGTTAAATTTTGATGCAGTCCAAGTTATCTATTTACAGTTTTTATTTTATATCTCCAATCTAAATTCAACTATTTGCATCAATGACCTTCAAGTTATGTCATTAGAAGAAATCAACCAAGACCAGTGTAGTAGGGTCTCCCTGGTGGTGCAAGGGGTTAAGACACAACCTATGAAGCTGTCTGCAGCCACTGCAGCACAAGTTCAATCCCCCGGCCGGCCAGGGAGCAAACCACATGGCAAGAATAGTGTAGTACTATATGGATATCTAGTTTACTTAACTGTCAATATAGATACAGATATATTTTTAATGCTGTCAGTAACACTGGCTAGAGGTCAGTTTCCTTTCTTAAGCAGCTGAGTAAGTCCATATTCCAAATGATTCTCTTTCCTACTCTCATATTTTGAATCACTATGCATGATCCCCAGCCAAGTACCAGACAACTAGAAGCCCTTACAACCCAGCCTATGAAATTATTCATATTAGTCAATCCACTTAGAGAGCCTGAGTAATCTTGTCAACCTCACCCACCCCACTTTCCATCACTTTCCATACATAAGCTGTCCCCTTCAGCTACAGCTTGTTGTCACCCTGTTGCCCAGTGCAAATCTTTATTTGGCCCTGTCTAACAGCCTTCCTTCATTTGGAGCTGCCAGTAACAAAATGCTTTACCCTTTAGTACCATCCAAGTGTCTTTGTATTGTATACTATCATCAAATGAAATTTTAAGTCTTGTTTAAACACTAACCAAGGAAAATCAGGATGCCATCAAATTAAAAAATCAGTAATATTACAGGAAAGATATCCATTCTGGTCAAAATGACACAAAAAGAAAACATTTGATGCATTCTCAATATTCCCAACACATGGAAAATAGATGACACAAAAACTGAAAAAAAACAGCAGGCTCAAAATAAATACCATTATCAAAGACAAAACAGAAATATGAAGCTTAAATCACATACCTGCTAGTCTATGAGCCTAGACTGAGCCTCAAACCGGTGATTTTGTGTTCATATCTTGTGAGACAACAGTGTCAATATATGCGCTACCCAGATGGCTCAAAGCCTAAAAGAGGTAATAAAAATCAGCATGTCTCTAATGAATATGTCACAAAGTCTTTAGTAATAAATTAAAAGGTTAAAATCAATTCTTTAAAAAATAATATCTAATAAATAAAGGTTATTTATCTCAGGAATGTCCAAAGAGCAAACCAAAAAATGTTTAAAATCATTAGTTATCTGGAAAATGAAAATTAACATCACAAATGGATAACACCAGACCCACCAGACTGTTTAAATTAAGACTGATGACACCAAATAATTTGTCAAGGATGTGGAACTGTAACTCTCCTATACTCTTGGGTGATGGTATAAAATGACAGAAGTACCTGAGAAAAAAAGGATAGGCAGTTCTATATAAAACTAAAGATATACCTTTGATGCAACCAGGATGTAGTATACTAGATATTTACCCAAATGATAAGCAAACATATGTTTATACAAAGCCTAGTACAAGAATCTACATAGATTTTTATTCATAAAAGATAAAACTGAAAATACAGTGTCAGCATTTATCAATAGAAGAATAAATAAGAAAAGTGTTGTATATTCATAAAATGAGATGTTATTTAGTATTTCAAAGTAGAAGATACTGGCACAGAGAGTGGTATGGATTAATGTCAAAAATACATTGAGTCAGAGCAGATTTACACAAAAAAGGACACAGTGTATGATACAATTCATAGGAAAAGCTAGAACAAACAGAAAAAGTAATTTATAGTTAGAAAAAAGCCACAATAGTGGCTACCTATGAAAGGAAATAATGTAGAAACTGACTGAAAGGCACATATGAAAACATTTCTGGCATTATGACAGTGTTCTATATTATAAGAGGGGATATTTGTCAAAACTCATCATATTACATGCTTAATATTTGTATATATAGTTTTAAGTAAATTTCACTTCAAATAAAAAAACCTATATACATATACTAAACTCTATTTAATGATTTATATGCTAAAATCTTTAGGACTGAATTATACTGATGTGTGCAATTTATGACAAAATACCTACAAAAAAATAAGATGGCTTAGATGAATAGAGGGACAGTTAGATAAATCACATTTATCAAAATGTGATAAAGTATAGTAAATCTATCTACTGTATCTATTTACAGTATTCTATTCATTCTATTTATTTATAGTAAATATATCTGTTTACTATATTTATAGTATTCTATACAAAACAAGTATCTATCTATCTATCTATCTATCTATCTATCTATCTATCTATCTATCTATCTATCTATACCTTAAGACCACAAAGTGGTAGCATTTCCTCTAGTTCTATGACTAAATCTGTGTTATTTACAGTTTCTGCAGACGAAGGAACACAATATGATGGAAGATTGCTAAAGAGGCTTTGAGATGGTCTAAAGGAAAGAGAAGGAAAGAAGAAATCTCATTTAAAATTAGATCCCTAATCAAACACAAAACATGTATAAATGGTATGTTAGAAAAGAAAACCATCAAAATTTACCATTTAAAGTTCAATAAATGATTTGTATGCTAAAATAAATTCCCTGAGGGAGGCTGCAAAGCTTTAATGAAGGAAAAAAAGTCCTCTAAATTGTGCTAATTGCTTCCAAGAAAAAGATAGTATAAACATTAAATTGTCATTTTATAGCATACCATGTCCTTGATATGACCTTGAACTGGCACATGCTATTTTAAGTATGTGAAGAAAGGTTCCAGATAAATAAATATATGCAATTATAACTTGGTATTTGAATGCTTCAGAGACTAGTCAGCTTTTGATATATTAAATTAACACATTCATTTATTAAACAAATATTTGTTAAGCATTTAGAGTGTTCCAGGTATTGTCCCTAGCATGTAATAATATAGAAAACAGCTAATGGCAAGGTCATTAGGGAGAATACTTTCTGTATACTCTTCTGTACTTTCCCAGCAAGGTAGAGAATGAAAACTTGAAGGAATGACAAGGTAAGGATCGAAATAAAATACTATTGAGCTTTCAGGATTAGCTAATTGATTTAACAAGAATAATTTGCAAACTATACATATTAGATGTTCTTTTCCACTTTGCCTGTATATGAGGCTAACAAGATATTGAGGTGGAGTACTGGTGCCATTAAATGCCAAATACTTTTTTTACTGAGAGACCTTAAGTTGGTAGTTTCTTTAGATTAAGAAAGAACTTTTAGGGACAGAGTAGGTGGTTTCTAAAATAGCTGAAAAGTTAAGGTGTTGACAAAAACCAGAGATTTTATCAATTGAACTGAGTTGTATTAAGCTAAATTGCTGGTTAAAAACTCTAGTCTACATGTTGAGAAAGAAATGTAATGCTATTTTCTGCTTAATACGGGCTTCAGCATAACCTCATCTTCCCTGCAAATAATGCACTCATGAAGTTTTTATTCAAAAATAATATTGATCAATACCAGTTTTCTCTGCTGAGAGATAAGAACACACCTGTGGGGCCTCCCTGGGTCGCACAGCAGGTTGAGCGCCGCACTGTGAAGCTGTCCATAGCCTCTGCAGCACCAGTTCAATCCCGGCCCTCCAGGGAGGGTCCCACATGGCAAAGCAGACCTCTCCTGCCACGCCCACTGCTCCCCTCAGCAGTGTATTTCATCAGTCTGCCTCTTCTGTTCCCTACTCTGTCTCTGGTAATCCTCTCACCCCCCCCCACCACATCTCTGGCCTGTACCCTGGTTCTTTTGTAAATAAATAAATAGATCTTAAAAAAAACACACACACACCTGTGATAGGTATGATTCTAGGCTTCAGGGAGTTTATATTCTTTAGAGGAAGAATGATACTAATTAAAGAGAAAAAAATATAATTTTGATACATGACCACTTATTTTTAATAAATAAATGATTTAGTGCCTACTTACTCAATTAATTCAGTGGGGGATTTCTGAGTCCCTTGATTTAAAGAGAAATTCTTGTCAATTCAATTTTGCTCTCACAACTTTGATGGAGCTCAGCATTACCATTTTTCCCTAAGCATAATGGACATGAAATAGTATTTCATTGTGCTTTTAATTTGCATTTTATTTGGTTTTAATTTGCATGTCCCCAGTAGCTAGTGAGTTTTAACATCTTTTCATATGTTTATTGGCTTTTTGAATTCCCAGTTTGTGAACTCTCCCATCCTGTGGTTTGTACTTAATTTTGTATATGAACTTTTTGTACATTTTCAATGTTTTTAACATCAAAGAACATTTTTTCCCTCATTCATATACATAAATTTCTACTCTGTCCAAGATTTTCAAAACCAAGCATATACAAAACCAGGTATTCAGTAGACAAAAGGTATTTCATTCTTTGGATCCTATACATTTTAGAAAGTGTTCAGGGTTACAAAATTTAAAACAAATTTTCTACATAGCAAAATTTTGTAATTTAGATAGACTGTGGTGAATAAGTTGGTATTGTGTGCAGTATTCTATACAAAACATATGTGAGAGGTTGAAGTTTGAGTTGCAGAAATTATAGACTTCTAAAAAACAGATAATCCATTACTTGCTTTTACTTTTGTATTTCATCTCTGTAATTCCCCTTGAGCCCCATATTTTGATTACATTTTGCTACACAACAGGTTTATTTTTGTATGGATAAAGGAACTGAATTCTCTATCTAAACTAGCGTGATCTAGACTAGATAAAGCTTCTACATGCTACTTGATGGTGTTTTGAGCTCATCTTCATTGTATTAAAAGGAATAAAGCAACTCCAGACTTGGCTTACTATGTTTAAGTTTCCACTCCCAAGACTGGAAAAGAGTGGAGATATCCAAGTAATGTGGCAGAATGGCTAAATGTTTTAAGACCATTCAAGTAAAGATTTTTTTTTCATATGCCATTAAGAATCAAACTACTCCTTCTCTCTACTCTTAGTACAGTCTGATTTAATTTAATAAAGTTTTATTGAGAAAGAGGCTAAATCCCATGTTCCATTTGGATGCCTAGACAATACAGAAAACAAAAAAGTTACGGCTTAACATAGAGAACAAAACATCAGTGCGGGAAAAACTACAGTCAAAGGTCACCATGAATAAATGAAGTTCAAACCCACTCCATCCATCCCATGCACACAAATGAAAATTTACATAATATTGGGGGAAGAATGAAATTGGAATTTGAGGTATTTTCTTTTTTTTTTTTTTTAATTTTTTTTTTTTTTTTTAATAGAGGCATGTTTTTATTTATTTATTTGTTTGTTTGTTCGTTCGTTTTGTTTATACATGCACTGGGTACAGTCAGAAGCGCGGGAGGGTGAGAGAATTCACCAGAGCCAGAGCGGGGAGCAGAGCAGGCGGAAGGACCGAAGTACACTGCTGAGGGGAGCAGCGGGCGGCAGGAGAGGTCTGCGCGCCATGTGGGACCCTCCTCCTGTGGCCGGGGAGCAGCCGGGGATCGAACCGGCGCCGCAGAGGTCGCCGGCAGCTTTGCAACCCAGCGCTCAACCGCTGCGCCACCGGGGAGGCCCTGAGGTATTTTCTTATAGATCTTATGTGATAGGTCAATCATGTTGACCCCACTCTCTTTAAGCACAATATTAGCTAAAATTGCAACTGCCTATTGCATAACTTAACCTCAGTATTTCTGTAATCTGGTATCACTTTAGAACCACATAAGAAGCTTTAAAATAAAAATATCTTGACCCTATTATATAACCAATTAAATAATACCCTCTGGGGGTTGGTCTTATGCATTGGTAGTTTTTAAGCTTCCCAGGTAATATAATATGAAAAATTGAGGCTACTAAGACCTGACTCTGTCAAGCTGAGCAAACCTGGACAGGGATATAGGCATTCTAGTTATTTCTCTAAGATGTGGGTATTTTGTAGACTTTCTGCATAAGTCACCCCCCCCCAGGAGTAGAGCTCACTGAAAGCAGTAAAAAGATGCCTACACATTCCATACTAGTTAAAATGAGATGCAGTCTAACTTGTGTTTTCATAAGAATCATAAGAGGAGCTTATTAAAAAAAAAAATTAAGAGCCTCACATTGAGCCTACTGAGTCAAAATCTTTAG